GTGTTGTTATTGTTTTGTTTTACTCCCCTTAAAGTTAAAGAAAAACCAGAATGAGTAGAGTACTCCTTTCCCCCAGGGTAGAATAGCTCATTGTCAGAGCATTTTTCTGCACATAATGGTGCTCACGGGGTTAAATGGTTTCTTTGATTTAGTAGGGAGTTTTCCTTCCCTGCTTTTTCATGTGGAAGTGCATTTCAGTCCACTCTCCAAAAAGGCCATTCTACGTGCTGATGTTTAAATGTCCATCTCAGATTGGTGTTTCCCAATAGCTGGGTGGTGGCACCATCGTGTTCAGCAAGTCCTTCTTGGGGTGAAGTAGCACGCTGCTTGACAAAGGCTTGATCTCAGCTGAGGAACCAGTGATTTCCTGCTGGGATTGTGGGTTTCCTGAGGACAGCAGTCCTTGGCCTCCTGCCCACATGCAAAGGTTGGGAGAGTTCCGCTAATGTCTTTCTAGCTGTTTGTGTTAGTGGGATACCTGGCATTTACATTCCATCTTCCTGCTGCTCGTTGGCTGGGACCTTCACTACACCTCAGACCTTAGGTGGTTAAAGTAAAATTTGCTCCCATCCTGGTGGACATTCCTCGTTAGGATCCCTGGGGTCAGCCAGTCATCTATATTCTGCAAGAGTTCATTAGTACTGCTTGCTCTAACTTCCAGCACACGTTTGAATGATGCTTCTTATACTTATAGCAGGGTTTTCTTCTTAATAAGTTTGGAAATCTAAAAGAAGGTTATGTTACTTGTGAAAACAACTATAAGAATGGGTTAACCTGGCATATTTATTTATTTTTTTAGCTTTCCGTTAGTTATGGAAGTCATTTGTGCAAAGAAATCATACCTGGAACCTACACTGGTAAAGCATTCAGAAGAAGAGCATCCCTGGAGGTGTTCATCTAGGTAAAGGGGTTTTGAAGGATACGAGAAGCCCTGCTGGACTCCTAACCTGCTTTGCCACAGGCAGGGTGGGAACCAGCAAGTGAGAGGATTGCTTGAGTCTCTTGAAACTGTTGTCCAACCATTTGTTTCTAAAACTTCTGGACACAGACAGGAAGGAAAACACTTTCTAGTTCACAAGAGCTGTGTTTTGGGAGCATGTTTTGTTTCGTTTTTTGTCTTTTGTTTTTGCAGCACTGGAGATTGAATCCAGAGCTTTGTACATGCTAGGCAAGACTCCACCACTGAGCTCCACTCCCAGTCCAGCACATTTTTTGAGTGTTACTCACATAACTCCAAACTATAGGTATTGAAATTATTTTAACCTAATTAAGAGGCTTATATATTTTGGAAATTTTTCCTATTGCTAACATGCGTAGTTATTTTAAGCAATCAAGCAAACATATGGGTTTTTTTTTACATTTTTTTGGTAATTAGAAATAATTTCCTAGGGGCTGGGGATTTAGCTCAGCGGCATGAGCACCTGCCTTGCAAGCAGGCAGTCGTGAGTTCGATCCCCGGTACCGATTAAAAAAAAAAAAAGAAATAATTTCCTTTTAAGATTTTGAGGGCTTTCTTGTTTACACTTTGATTAGAAAAAGAAATGAAAAATATGTGGGAGTCTGTGATGGTTTTCTTTCTCTCTTCTAGTTTTGAGGGTCAGGGGCTAGAAAGACAACACTTTCCATATTTGTAGTTCTCTGAGTATAATGAGGTAAGTAGAAGAACCTAAATCATTCTGATGATGTGTGAGTGGTTACAGGGAAAATATCCCTGGGACCTTAGAGGCAGAGGCTGTGCTGCAGGGAACTGACTACTAGGGTACATGTTTGCAAATCCATTACCTACTCAACACATGACTTTTCATGGCTTTCCGCCTCAGGTTCGTTTTCTATTTGTGGGAAACACGTAGAAATTTACACAGCATACGCAACAGCCACAGCTACTGTATTTTCTAAAAGAGATTCCATGAATACATTCTCTCATATTATATTGATGTCATAAACCTTACTCTTTTTGTCACTTTCTTTTTGTAGTGTTAGGATGGAACCCTGGGTCTTGCACTTATCAGGCAAGTACTACCACTTAAGAACATCCTGAGCCTTACATTTACACTTTTAACATCAAGTGTAAAGATACGTAGATAAGACTAAAGTATGTTTGTGTTCATTTGCTCCAAATAAATTTCAACCAAAAAGTTAATATACAATTTTTAAAAAGTGTTTTGAAGTAGGTTCTCTCTATGTAGTCCAGACTGATCCTCAACTACTGAGCTCCTGCCTCCACATCCCTGGTAGCCGATATTACAATCACACATGTACCACTGTCTACAGTTTAAAAATTAATTCAAAATATTTTAGGCAAATACAATTCAATCTTTGGAAAATGTGACTGGAGCTTTTTATTATTTTAAAAATTGTATGCACTTTGGTTTAAGCCACTATTATGGTAACTGGAACCAAATGTTTATTCCTTTCATAAGGAGAACTGGATGGCTGTCAGTGACACAAACAGGAGGCCTTGTGGTGGCTCCTGGTGCTGACCCCCGAAAAGGCCGCTTCCCCTTCTGCTCCTGTGTTCTCTTTCCTCCTTGGTGTGATGAGAGCCCTTTTGCATCCCCTGATTTTCCATTCCTCTCTTTCTGTGTGTGGCCAATGCAGCATTGTTCTTTGTCCCCAAAGCTCTGCACCTTCCAGGGAGCAGATGCAGCAGAAGGATTTCTATTTCACTGCCTCCCACCATGAAGTCATTCTTAGGTGTGCAAGAGACAGTTCCACAGCTTTTCTTTTCGAATGAGGTAGTTTATTAGTCAAATGAATCTCTAAGGAGCTATGACTGAAGAGTAATTTTAGGGAGGAGTTGATCTTTATAAGCTACACAGTTCCCTACTTTTTGGTTTTGGAAGTTGAGGACTCTGGCTTTGACCTGTCCCTTGCCCGGGGAGCCCCCTGCACTGAACACACTCAATAGGCTGAGTGCAATGGAGGACGGCAAGTCAAGGCCATCAAGCCAAGAACCTAAGACCTTTGACTAGCTGATCTGAGCACTGACAAGACACCAGCCCTACTCTGTGTCATATAATCCTCATGACCACATTGTGAAGGTGGCCTCATTGTCTCAGAATCTTACAGAAGGAATCAGTAGCAAAAAGGGTTTTAAGCAGTCTGGCAAGATTGCCAAAGCCAATGACTAGTAATAGTGTTTAAGATTTTCCAGGGTTTGTGTGCACTGACTGTGTCAGGAGAGGGCTTTGCAAGAGTCACTCCATTTAACTCCTACTCTGCTCCTTCCATGCAGGTTCTACTATTATTTATCATCCTTTCTCAGGAGAGGAGAACTCAGGGAGGAAGCCGTTAAACCACTTGACCATGCCATACAGCTGGTGAAGTGCAGACTTGGGTTTAAAAGAAAAGAGTAGTAGAGAGCTTGCCACGTGATAAGGAATGAAATCAGTTATGAAGATGTCTCTTGGGCCAGTCATATTCTGAAGTGCATGTATTTCATGTGACTTCTAGAGCCAAGATAAGACTGAGTCCCTCTGTGTGGACTCAGTCTATGAAAGAGACCAACCCTTTGCCTTTCTTGTTTCCAAGCCCACAGTAGCAGGTGCCGTGTGAGGGATTCCACAGCCACAAAGTTCTTCTCAGGCCGGTGCTCCTGAATTGCCAGCCATGCTTGAGAGGACAGAATCCCTTGTCTGGGAAGCACCCGCAGCTTGTGCGGGCTCTGGAGGAATCACTCAAGGGAGGAGATGTGCTGGGTTTGGCATCTGGTGACTTCTGTGTGATGAGCAAGCTGAACAGTGAGCGAGTTTGTTGCATGGGAAGCCCTGGGCCTGCTGGCTCATGGGGGTGAGGACAGGATCTGGTGGGGGGAACAGCAAGGATATATTTTGTATCTTCTGCTCTTTCTATTAAGGAGAAATAGGATTGTTCAAGCACTAAAATAACATGGCATTTGGTGGAGAGAATCTTTAAAATTTACATGGTTTAGAGAATTGAAAAGGTGGAATTTAATATTTAGCTCAGAAAGAAGAGCTCTCTTAAGTCATCGAGTTATCTATATGGAAGACAACAGGCAAATGTTCTATATAATTTTAGACAAATAGAGCTTTTCTATTTATAATTAAAAGAAAACTCCCTCCTGAGAGTTCAAAGCATTATAAAAAGCAAAGCAATTTAAGAAGTCCTTGGTGATATTTTTCTCAAGAGAAGATTTTTAGGATTATTTGTCTAAAACACTATGTGTCATAGGCCTGTGATTAACATTTTTGGATATTTTACCTTTAGAGTTAGATGCTGAATAAAAATTAAAAAGCAAACTCTCAGAAACCATAATGGTCACCTCAGTCACTGGTCACCTCAGTATTTAAGCCCATCTAATCTTACTAGATTCTTTGTAAAACTGATATTAAGGGACTGGGAAATGGATGCAGACATTGTGGCCATCTTTGGAAGTCATTTGGTTTAAATTTTATCACAGTTTTTAGTTTTCCCAAAATGTGTATTTTAACACTGAAATGTTCTGATTACATTAAAAACACACAAGAATTTTCATTTCATTACTTTATTATTCAACATTTATAAGATGTTTCATGTCCACTTGATAAAAATAATTTAATAAATATAATATAAATAAATATAAATTAGTTCATATGATTTTATGAATACAAAATACATCAATAAATATTTTTAAATAAATGATGCCTGAGTGTTTCTATAAACACTGGTCCAGAAATAGCTTATCAATTCTTGCTCTTCTATTAAAAGAAAAGAAAGAAATTCAGGAAGGAATTTGCTCATAAAAACTTTTAAAAACTTATCAGTAATAAAAATTAAAATATAAATGTGAAAGTCACTTGATGAAAGGGATCGTGTGGACATAGTCCCACCACCTTTCCAACAGGGAACATTATTGCAATAGAAGCAAGAGGACTCTTGTAGGAGCTTAAGTACCACCAGGTCTCGGTCTCCCTCCCCAGTTCCTAACCCCCAGCTTATGAATATTTCTTTGGGAAGATTTTTATGAGAGTGACACCGAGGTCGGGAGGGACCTCAGCCTTTCAGGAAGAAGTCAGGTAGCTCATCACTCTGTCGATAGTCACCGCACGAATTCTGAAAGCGTGTAGAAGTATGCAGAGCTTCATTTTAATTTTATAAAAATCCGGTTCTTCAAGGGAAAGCTTTTGTGGCACAGTCACATCGCTGCCATTCAGGGCCTAGAAAAACAAGGAGGGAGCATGACATGTAGTGTTCCAAAATGAAAGGACAATATAGGCCTCGGAACCTGCAAGACAGTTCCTTATTACACTCCCAGGCCCAACCCAAACCTCATCCCAGCCAGAAGGGCCAGCGGAATCTGAGACAGAAAACACTCGTCTCCAAGCATGTGCTTTTCAGGGTGAGCTTTGAAAGGACCTTTAAAGCTGCTTAGAAAATTGTCACCAGGAGTTGTGTTTTAGAAAAGCCCAGTTCTGTCAAGATGACATCTGCTGCAATATCTAATTTATTTTTTATAGATTACATTAAGAAGTCCCAATCTTTTTTAGAACAGAGATTGTGGATTGCTAGTAATCAGAGTCATCTACCAGTGATATACCCATTTACTATAAAAATATTTGTGCAGGAGAAATAAACCTTGCCATAGATTTCCTAAGTTTAGCCTTTTGATTTGAAAGCATTACAAGATTTTTAGTTTGAGTGATGCTCAGTACTCTGACTTGCTTATCACATAGGATGCATCAAGTCATCCCATTTTAGAGAGAAGCAAACTGAGGCACAGTGGGTATAGTTGGGTATAGTTGCTTGGTTACTGGGAAAATTGATTCCACTGTTCGAATCACCTGAGTTATGGTTCTAAACATGAACCATTATCTCGTCAACTACAAGTCTCTGCGTGGTAAGAGTCTTTGATACTTGGATGAAGTTCACTGCCTTTCAAACAGGTAATATGATACTAGCATGCACACACAGTGTGTGTGTGTGTGTGTGTGTGTGTGTGTGTATCAGAGAGAGAGAGAGAGATAAAATAATGCATGGTAATAAAAATAAAAAATCAGTTCCTTTTCAGACAGTGATTTCTGCCACCATATTTTCATGCTACACCTTAGGTACCAAGGCATTTATCCTATTTCTTATGTGTCTGTTTGCATGTTTGTACCAGCACATCATTTACACTGGCCAGCAAATTGCACATCAATTCCTTCCTGAATGTCTCAAAAGATAGGTCATTCTTTTATTTTGTTCACACTTTGGTTCAAATGTGTTGTAATGAGGCCCTGATCCAGCTTTTTATACGTTAGCAATATTTGCTGCCCCCTAGAAGGGAGTAAGAAGTGCAGCAAGGGAATCCTGCCTTTAATGAATGACTTAATTCTCTTCTCTGTCAGTTTCCTCCTCTGCAGAGACCCATACGGTTGTTGGGGAGATGACAGAAGAAAATGCATGAAATCATCTGCCAAGAAAGAGCCTAAGTCGTGCCTTGTGGTCAGCAAGGGAAGAAATGTCCTGCACACATTTGGGCTTCCTGTAGAGGGCACCCTTTCTTCAGGGTCTTTCGAGGAGGAATATTCAGACCTCTCTTGGTCCAGGAAGGGGTTATTTTATTCCCCTTTGTCGAGAACCCTGGATGGCTACCTTCAGCGTGAAAAAGTGCTCTCATTAATAGGACGGCCCTCACCTGAATCAATTCATCAATAGCTGAAAGCATGTTTTGATCTAAAAAGATCTGCCTCTGAGGATCCATTAAAAGTTGTGCATTCATGTTCTTGAACTCCAGCTGGTACAGCTTCAAGTCCTCATAGATACTGTTAAGGCACAGGGCCTGAATGACATGACAAAATAGAAAAGAAATCATTGACATGGGCTAAAAACTTTACCCTCCATTGCATTTGAAGAAAGAGTGGTGTTTCTTACCATCATAAAAGAGGTCTTTCCGGAAGCCAGGCAACTCCCATTCTAGAGGAAAGAATAATCAGGCATTAATAACTTGAATTCATCACATGGGAGGAAACCTTTAGTTTTTTTACTTACGGTTGTGAAAGAAATATGTCCAGAAGCCAGGCAGCTCTCATTCTAGAGGAAAAAAACCATGTATCAAAGGTATTAATTCTCTAACAATTTTAAAGATATGTATAAAGAAAATATTAGAAAACATTCATCTTAAGTCTATAAAAAACAAAATTTCATAACAAAATAATTAGAGAATTATAAGTTAACACACTGTACATCATAATCTTAAAAGAATGGCTAAAATGTTACTCAGAATACAAGTTAGAGACAAAAAAAGACTTACAAAGGAGAAACAAATGGATAAAAGCACAAAACTTTCTTCAAAGAACTAAGAGGAACTAGTAGTATAAATGAAATAAATTAGCAATATATTCTTAATATAACTCTTCCTGATGTTTCACCTCAAACTTTTAAAATTTGGGCAAAAACGCATAATGTATAATTCATCATTTCAAGTATTGTTAAGTACATAACTTAGAGGTTTCAAGTATATTTACATTGTTGTGACAAAAAATTTGCTTTTTATAATTCTTTTTCAAAACCTAACTTTTTTTTTTTACACAGAGTCTTACTGTGCAGCCTAGGTTTGCCCAGAATTCACTGTGGAGTCCAGGCTGCCTTGAACTTGTAATAACACTCTTGCCTCAGCAGCATGAATGCTGGGATTACCAGTAGGTGCTACCACACTCAGCTTTCAAAATCTAACTTCTAATGGGTACAAAAAACATGCAAATTTTTGACAGCTGAGATTTGGTGCATAGCTTTCTTTTTTTTTGTACCAGGAACTGAACACCTAGCCTCACATTTGCCAGGCAGGCCCTGTGCCGCCGAGCTACATCTCTGATCCTGGTACACAGCTCTTAACCTTACTGCATACTTTGGGAGGAAATTTTCCATACCTTGACTAATTCCAGTGGTACACAGGCTTTCACGGTGCTGGTTTTGTCTTTTGTGATATCTTCATGATCGATCTCTTCAGGAGTACAGGAGTAAACTGCTAGCATTTGTATGGCCTGTGAGAAAACATGACAAGAAACTCAACTACTACTAGTAAAATGCCTGGCCAGAGCTGGTTGACCTTGGGTCACTCTCCTTGACCTGTAGGAAATTTGGGATCTTCATAAGGGAAAATAGGTCATTTACATTCTCTTGCTCCTTCTTCTGTCCTTTTATTTAGGGCATATTTCTTTAACATCTTTCTTTCCATTATATAAGCACTGCAAATCATCCCAACAGGTTGTGATATCAGCATTTATGCCACACTGTGATGCTTGCTTCTGGTGAAAACCATTTATTCTTTTGCCAAAGTGCTTCTGTTTAATGAATATATTTCTCAAGCATAACTTCTAAAGCAGAATGGCTAAGGTCACAGCTTGATGGTTATCATAAGCACTCAAAACCCTAAAGACTGGCTGAGATTTAATTTGCAGTATCAACACATGAATATGCATACGGATGTCATCTTCCCGGCATACTGGCAAGCACTGTTGAACAGAATTATGCAAAGACTTTCTGGTTGAAGCTCGAGATTATTTTTCCAGTCAACAAGCCTGATATACATCAGACACTATTGTACTAATGACACAACAAAGAAAAAGACTGTAGTATGCTTTACTGGATTCCATGTTTAGCTATGAGAACAGATAAGTGCCCAAACACTTGTCAGCAATTGAGAAGTAAGGGCATTAACACTCTAGGAGATGCCACAGAGGAAAGAAAATGGTTCACGGAAGATCAACCATTTGTAGGGAGGGGATTAGAGCATTACAGGCAGAAGAGGGGAGTTTTAGGCTGAGGGAATTACATGAGTCATGAGCCATGGCCTGAAAGGGCAGAACACATCTGGGCCCAAGCAGTACAATCCTTTTTTGGTAGGAGATCTAATGCCTTCACCTCTGTAGATGTTTACCACCTCATCCCTGGAACCTGGGACCATCCTGGCGATCGAGGGAGGCCCAGTGTAACCAAGAGGGTCTTTATGGATGAGAGAGGAAGGTGCAGGAATTCGTCAGAGTGACACAGCAGGAGGAAGAAAAGAGAACTCTTCCCTGGCTTATATTTTCTTCTGTGGTCCTGGGAATGGAACCCAGGGCCTCACACATGCCAGGCAAGCACTGTATCAGTGAGTTAATCCCAGTGCTGGCTTTGTGGGTACAAGGGAATCTGAATTCAGAGTGCAGCAGCTTTTAGAATCTGGAGATGGCAGATTCTAGAACACATTCTCCTGTTCTCCCACAGGAATGCCAGATCCACCAGCACATTGATTTTAGCCCAAAGGATCCCACCTTAGATTTCTGACTCAAGTTATAAGAGAGAACATTATTTTTTAAAGCCACTAAATTTATAGTAATGTATAACAGCAGCATCAGAAAATACACACATCCTCCTTTAGGTGTTTAGCAGCCACGGGCAACTGCTATTTAAGGGGGTTATAGAGAGAAAGAGACAGAGCTAGGAGACAGAGACAGAGACAGAGACAGAGACAGAGACAAAAGTAGTACAAGAACCCTGTGTGGGTTTTTAAGATCAAAGAAAGCTGAAAATTTAGATTCTTTTGTGAATGGTTTAATTTTTCAATGGCACCCAAATCAAATATTAAAATAAAATAAAATAAAATAAAACATTGTGGGCTACACTCTTCAAGCCTGTGGGCCTGTGAATCCCATGCATCTGCCACCTCTGTTTTTCCACAGCAGCTGGTTAGTTTGGAAAATTTGACAAAGTCATGGCATAAAAGACATCGAATTGAATTCTGGAATGTTCTGACCTTCAGCACCACATCTGGGACTACAAGAATTAGCTTTATCACATCCAGCATCTGTTTAACAGAGCACCCACATCTCATCCCTATTGAACCTTTCTCCAGGAAACAAAGCACTTATCTCTGCAGGTTTTGCTTGCTGAGGCCCCTTCCTAATTAAGATCGATTGAACCATGAGTCGCAATTGACAGTCGACTGTGAAAGATTGGAAGGAAAGAAGAAAGGCGTTAAGACCTTGACCTTAGTTTTGAACTCTCTTTTGGCCTTGAACTTATTTTAAAAATTTCAAGAAGGATTTACTGGAGAGCAGAAAGATAAAAGAATGTCTTCGCTTTTGGGGTGTGTGTGTTGGAGGTGGAACCCAGGTTCTCAGACGTAGTTTAGCAAACAGTCTATGGATGAACTACCCACTCCTAGGATATCTGTAAAAACACTAGTCTTTGCTATAGCCATGTGCAGTAAAGCAAGAGCTAATTGGAGCAGTTTTAACACAAAGGAATAGAACCTAGTTTGCATTAAAATACAAAGTCGCAGGGGGCGGGGGAGGCAGAATGATGTTATAAAGAAAATTAAACAACTCTTCTTGCCAAAGTAAGTCTGGACACACAGCTGCAACTCTCCCTGGGATGTGCTGCTCTAATACAGAACTTTGTCACCACCACTGGATGATGGCAAACAGTGAAAAAAACGATCTAATTCAGCTTGTACTCAGATAGCACACACAGTGCATCTAGTAACTGTTTTCTGGATCAACACGCAACGTCAAAAGATCAGCGTGCACCTAACAAAATTCCATCCATGTTGGCAGGCTGCGGAGAACACTAAATATCTACTTTCCTTTCTGTAGACACACCCAAAATGAATGCCATTTTAATGTACTACTGTCCTTTCTGTCTCTGGGGACACAATTCACTGAGACTCTAGTTAAGTAATCAAGCCATTTGTAAAGTTCTCTGCCTCTCCTGACTGCTTCCCCAGAATTATGATTTTCCTGCAGTTCCTTTGGGCACCAGTTTGGGGTCAGTGACCCTGTTTAGGCAGAGTGCTGTCAGGTGGGGAGAAGGACACTGCGGAGCTCACCTTGTGAAGTTCACTGTTCACCGCCCTCAGCAGAGTTTGGGAGTGGTTAAAGCACTGGACCGGTTCTGTGACTGGTGCTGGTGAGGCCCTAGGGAGGTTCCTGGCCAAACTGCAGCTCACCAGGAGGACAAGGCTCGTCAGAAGGAGGCACTCTGGAAGGGAATCAGGTGTGCTAAGCTGCTTGACCATGGGTTTGACACGCTACTCCCCTCCAGCCATCTTGGTCCTCTGTACGCCTCCTTTCCCCGTACTAACCTCCCTCCACCCAGTTGCTACACCTCCCTTCACACCTGGGAGAGGGATCAAGGTTCAGAGAGCAGCACCCTGGTCTGGGGCTAGAAGCCAGCTCCCTGTGATCACCCTGGATGAGCTGGGACAGGGGTTCTGGGTTCAGTGTGCCCTCAGAAAAAGCCTTTACTTTTGGATGGGGAAACTGAGGCCCGGCAGTCAAGGGACTGATTCAGCCTCAGGCCACTGTGTTTTCAAAACAGCAGAGTGATAAAAGACCCTGAATTGGGTTTGAACTGCCTGCTTACTCAGTCTGGGACTCAGATTTTTGCGTGTGCAGTGGGCATAATGAGAGCTCCACAATGAAAAGAGACAATGTCCCATCCAGCTCAGGGCGACTGCCCAGCCTCCTTTCCTCTTGTCTAGCGGCTGCCCATTGCCTGCCAGGCGCTCCCGGGCCAGCCGGGCTTCCTGCCTGCTGTCCTGTCCAGCCCCATCCAGCCCGGTACTCACTGCGCAAAGGACTCATGCTGAGCCGGCGGTGCAGACGGAGCTGCAGCTGATCGCGGACCGGTGAGAGCACCAGGTTAAGGCGACGGTTGGCAGCTGATCCGGGGCCAGAGTTTTATAATTGCCTCGAGGCGCGGTAGGACTTTCCCGGGACAGGGGCTTTGCTTTCTGTCTCTGTCTCCCACTGCATCAGCTTCTCGGAGACACGTGCGGCAGCCCGGCCCGCGCTGCGGCGCCGCTTTCGGATTAACTCGGAGGCCCGGCTGCCGCGGTTCCGGGACCGTCCCGCCGACTCCCACACGCCGGAGGGAAAGCGAAATCAGCGCCCCGACATCCTCCGGCTCGGCCGGAGCCCCCGCCCAGCCGCCACCGAGCCCCGCCTGCCGGCTCGGCGCCTCCAGGGCCGGGAGAGGTGGCTTCCCCTGCACGGGCTGCGCCCGAGCTGCTGAGCACTGTCTGATCCTGGGTGGGTGGGTGGGTGGGTGGAGGGACAAATCCCCCATCATCGTGCTGTCCCTCGGGTGGCCCAGGCTCCCTGGCCGGACGCTGTGCCAGGCTTTGGGGGCGCTCCCATAGCAAATCGGAGGGGTTGTCTTGTAAACATGAAGTGTCAAAGCAGGATGGCTGTTCAGTCACTACACTCCCAAGGGATCTGGTTTCTGACGGGGTGGGAGAGAACATTAGGGTCTGTCGGGGAGGCGCCCTTTTCCTGGGAGGAAAGGCTGACCCACGCAGGAACAGCGGGGTCCTGGTGGCAGCCAAGGCTCCGGGGAGCAGCGGTGGAGCCAGATCTGAGTGTGAAAGGGCAAGTAGGCCCTGGATTCCTCCCAGTGGGACAGGTGAAGGTTCTAGCCCAGGAATCAGAGCCCAGTCAGGCAGGGCGCAGGGAGGCAGGGCTTGGGGGTGCGGGGGCTCTTGTGTATCTGCAGTGTGAGGGCGGACAGCTGGAGTTGCCTTGTGGTGAGGTGGTAGAGGCCTAATCAGGAGTGTGCTTCTGTTTTGAGGGTGGTGGGAGCTTTCTGGGGTCCAGGCAATAGAGGTCATTGCAGTTCTTGCGGCAGAGGTTACTGTAAGAGGGCAGTGAGTTCGGAGCAGGCAGGGAAAAGTTGTATTCTGGAAGTGCTGAGTGTGAGGTTCTTGTGGGACTTTTCTGTTCACTCATTTCTACTCCCAGCATTAGTCACTGTGTGTGTAGGGGACAGGGGTTGTTTGGCCACCAGCTTGGATCCTCCAGTGGGTCTGGATACACTCAATGCCAAGGAGCTCATGTCTGGAGCTGTGACCTTTGTGCAGATGCGCCAATCTCAATGAGGAGATGCTGTTGGGTGCTTCTTCTTGTCTCTGGTCTCCATGGAAGTCTGGATCAAGGAGTTCAATGTGAGCCTTGAGACGCTATCATGAAGAGGGCTGGGCTGGCCTCTACGGAAGACAGGGCTGTGAGGCCCTTGAGGAAGTCTTCACGTGGCACTGGTCTGGCCAGGCCCCTGACTCAGCTGTTGGCCTCAGCCTCCGGGGGGTGAATTATCTGCTCCAAGGTGATGAGGCAGTACTTGAGGGACTTTTAGATGTGCATGAAGTAAGATATTCACTTACTAAGTCACTAAGGCCCCTTCCATGCTGCTGTCTGTGAATTCCCCATGGGGACCCACACCAACTGACCTTGTTAGGAGAGATTGTGGTTAAGGGTTTATGTGAAATCAGTGGCAGGTGCAGAACTGGGTTGTGGCACAGGGGGTTAGGATTTTACAGTACTTAAAGTCAGAATGAAGTTGAGTTTATCACAGCTCAGTTGTTAGAAGAGCTATGTTCAATAGAAAAGCAATTTCTACTACAGAGATGAATACAGGACCTTTGTTCAGATGAATTTTTGCCACCAGATACAGTTTCTAACCCACACCTCCTAAAACATTTTTCTGATGTAGTGTACGTATTCTATCCACGATGAAACAAGTACTTCCTGCGGCGATAACGTGTCTTTTGTATAAGAGACAATCTCTGCCTATGACTGCTGCTACATAGAGTTCAGCACTATGTTAGAGATTTTGGCCAGTGCTATAAGGAAAGAAAAAGAAGTGAGAGATTTAGGTATTGGAAAGGCAAAGTTAAAACTGTCAGTTTTAGCAAGTTAATATATGAAATCAACAAACAAAAGCACAAACAAAAAATAGGCCAGACTAAATAAATCAATTATTGGAAATAAAAAGAGAATTTAGTAACTGTAGTGGATTAACTAGTGGTAACACTCAGCTGAACTGAGTCAGAGTGGAGCTGGGTATGGAAAGCCATCTGAGGATTGTTGCTAACAGCATAAAAAGGAGCCCTGGAGGGGAAGACAGTGTGCTATTGATTCTTCTGGAGAAGCTTGTCACTCGAGCTTTTCTGATGTGAACTCAGCTGTTTCCATCATCAGAGAAATTAAGGTTCTCAATATCATTGAGAATGGCTGCATTTCTCTTTGGGGGAGCTCTATGCCTCACTTTGAGCCTTGCTTCCCGGCTCCAGTGCAGATCCCTCAGTCTGCTGGCATAGATCTTTCACCCCACTTGTGCAGACTTTATCATTTTTACCGCTGACCTTTAGGCCTTCTTGATACAGACTTGCATAAGACATTGTTTCGGGCTCTATGCTTCCAGCTGGATTCATGGAGGACATTGCCACGGGGTCTAGGTCTTCAGCCAGATTCTCTGCATCTCTTGTGTGTTGACAGATAACATCACTCTATGCATTTGACTCTTTGGGTGAATATTATAAAATAATCCTATAAATTATGTGTGCTGTATTAAATCTTTTCCCTTGTAAAACCTGGCTACAACAGTAACTTCAGAGATACTCATGTTACCTTTAAAAAGCCAAGTAGGCTGGGGATGTAGCTTGGTGGTAGAGTACATGCTTGGCATTCACTGGACCCTGGGATGAATACCCAGCATTGAAAAAATGAAAAAAAAAATTAAAAATCAACTGGATTTTCTGCATTTTCAAACAGTCAATTAGGAAATGCCAAAAAGAAGGTAACATTTGCAGTGTCAGCTAACCTATGAAGATAGAGAGGCAGTGCAGTGGTTAAATGTAAGGACTTTTAATTATTTGAATCCAGGCTCTGCTACTTACTTGCAGTATATTTTTAGAAAGTAAGTTATCTCCTTGGGCTCAGTTTCCTAATCTGAAAAATGATGACAATGAAAATACCTATAGTAAGTACAGAATTGTGACAATTACATGTGTTAGTTTAACTATAGAAGACTCTTTGGAGAAAATTTTAAAGGTTTAAGTAAAAATTCAGTGTTATTTAATAGGGTAATGCTATATCCTTAATATACAAAAAGCTCATGTCTCTTAATTTACATATTCAGTGGAATGCTAATATTGATTATGAATAAATCTAAGAAATTTATTAATAAACTTATTCTAAAATGTATGTGTAAGACAAAAGCCCATGAATATCTATGAACAAGAAGACTAACCTTATCTGATAAGGATATGGTTCCAAAGACATATTTCAAATCAATAGTAATAAAAATATTTGCAAAAAAGCAAATACATGTATCATTTAAAAAATAGGCAGATTAAAAATAGATTAACACATATAGGTATTTAATATAAGATGCAAGTGATTTTATCCAGATCACTGAGGAAGTGGTCACTGCCTCTCCCTTTTGAGGCCATTGCTAAAGTGGTAGTGGCCAAAACTAAGTTCAGTTCTTTTATGATTTCTGGCATAAGCAAGAACCATAGAAGACATTTTGATGCACCTGCCTACAATGGCAGGAAGCTTATTCTTCCTATCTTTCCAAAGAGTTAAGGTAGAAATATGTTGTCCCATTCATGCCCATCTGAAAGGATGATGAAGTTCAGATTGTGTGAGGACACTGTAAAGGCCAGCAAATGGGCATAGTCCAGGTTTTATATCAACAGACGCATCATCTGTGCTGGATGGGACTATGGAGAAAGGCTAATGGCACAGTCTGCCATGTAAGCATTCACTCCAGGGAGATGCTCACCAGCAGGCTGAAAGTGGACAAAGACTATGAAAAGATCCTCAAAGTGAAAATAAAGCTTTTCTAAGTAAGAAAATAAAAATGGAAATACAAGCAAGAAACAATTAAGGAGATGCAGGGATAGAATAATCTTATATTAAATTTTCTCTTCTTCTCCTTCCCTTGTTCTTTCCCCTCTTCCTTTTTCCTCTTCCACAGGGCCTGCCACTATTAACCATAGGCTGGCCTTGAACTTCAGTGTAGGTGGAACTCCAGACCTGTATAAACATGCTCAGCTATTCCTGATAAATAGACAAGTTCATAGTCATAGGCCCTGAAAAGAAGGATTTGAGCTATATGTTTGGTGCCATAATTTAGGCTAACAGCCCATCCATGGAAGAAGTGAAATCCTAAAGAGGGTTGTGATCAACTGAAGCTATAGATCTGTACCTGTAAGTTAGAACTATAGATGTAAGGGTCTTTCATAACATAACAAGGACTTTGCTTTCAAATTTCTAGTCCATAGCTGTCATTGAATTTGAGCGTAGGAGTTGGTGCCTGCATGACACTAGACAACTGGGGGTCCAGTCCAGCTCCAACCCTAAAAATTATGCTATCATAGGTAAAAAGAGGAGCTTTCTATTCCTTGGTACATACTGAGCCCCAGCATGATATAACGAGGAATCTAGTTCTCCGGAGCTCTTTCTTCTTTGGTGAAAATGATCTCGGAACAGAAGGAAAAGCAGTGAGTGAAGTGAGCTAGAAAAGGTTATGAACCTGAAGTAACTTTGAACATTTGTTCAAGAAACTTAAACTGTATCCCATTTGTGCTATTTGATAGTTGTATGGGTTTGGATAAGCCACTTTCTTTTCTAGTGTTATACAGATTTGCAAAATGATGATATTAATCCTTGGTTGTTCTAGCTTTATTGTGCAGATCAGATTATATAATGAACAGGTAATATTTTTGCAAGTCATAGAATGTCATCAGTATGAGCCATCCCTCTATGATGTGAAGTGTAATGATTATTTGTGGATTAAGGTACACATACCAGTTTCTTCCGTAACTGCCCTTTTTATTCTTTGAAATTTTAATTGGTAACTTCCAAATGGGAAGAGGAGTTAGAATCTTAAATATTCACAGCACAGTTTCCACAGGTAACATCTGTGTGTTATCTACTCTGTCTTGAAGGACTTCAAGAAAATATGCCATGGGCAAAAATATCAACCATGGGCATCAAGGAAAAGAATCACAGGAAGATGCTATTTATTGCTTATGTAAATGATACTTTCTTTGCTGTTAACGCATATTCATCTCAAAAAATCTGTGGCAGGCAGATGATGTGGACCATATCATTTGGAAACAAAGGAAAGACACAGATGCTGCCTGGTAGGGTTTGCTTTTGATCAGGTGATGATCTTTTGCAGACTCCCTACCATGAAACTTCTTATTGTTGGGTATGTTCAGCCCTGGAACATTACCATAAGGAAATGTGCTCCTTCAGAGACTGGAAGCTTTGAAAAGGAATGGACAGTCATGTATGTCCAAGCTTTTTCCTTCTAGAGGGGGCTGGTGCTGGCATAAAATGTTGACTTGAAATGAAATTCTTGCATATGGTGATAGTAGAAAATGCACCTTGGTTTTGTGTGCTTATCATTTGCTTCACATTTAAGTTTTAAACTTAGAACATTATTAACTAATGAATTATTTTAATTTTAATTTCTGATTCATTAAGGGAATTCTGAAGCCATTGGTACAACACCATCGTGAAGACATTTAAATTTTTTCATGTAAGTTAAATTTTTTCATGTAAGGCGTTTCAAAACCTAATCAGTACCTCCTTCTCTTATTACAGGGCTTTGATGCTGCCAGTACTCACTTTTATATAGATTTTTACAGTAATATAGGAATTAGAATTATCTAATTCCAGAATGACTTTATCAAGAAATCAACCAATAGGGGCTGGGGATTTAGCTCAGCGACATAAGCACCTGCCTTGCAAGCAGGCAGTCGTGAGTTTGATCCCTGGTACGGATAAAAATGAAAAAGACAAAAAAAAAAAAAAAAAAAAAGAAAGAAAGAAAGAAAGGAGAAAAGAAATCAACCAATAACAAATGCTGGTGGGACTGTGAGGAAAAGCAAACCTTTCTTTTATTGTTAATGCAAGTGTAGATTGGTGAAACTACTTTGGAAATCATTATAGAGAGTTCTCAGAAAACTAGAACTAGAGGTTCCATTTGACCCTGCTCCTCCTTTTCTTGGTATCTTCTCAAAATAATTGAAAGCATTATGCCTGAGTGATCTGTGCGCACTTGTGTTCACAGCAGCACAGTTTGTAGTAGCTAAATCTTGAAAACAGCCCAAATAAAGATGTATTCTGCCATAAAGAAGGATAAGCTGGAGATACTTCTAGGTAAATGGAGGTACCTTGAGATCATACTTTTAAGTGGAATAAATTGGACACACTTGTCTAAATATTGAATTGTGTCTCTGGTGTGAAAAACTGAAAGTGTAAATAAGGACTAAAATGTATAATAGATATTTGAAACGAAAAAATGTTCAAATGGAGAGGAGAACTAAGAAGGGGGAAGGGAGAAAGGAAGGAAAGGAAAAGAAAAATGATGACAAATGAAGGAAAAATGGAAACAAAATTTTTGTAAGTAAAGAGGGGAAGAGGGCTTGAAGGGAGGGTAGAGGGAGGGGAAAATAAAAGAATTAACTTATATCATTACAGATACAAATTTCCTATGATGAATGTGATCATAACATATATCTAAAATGTACCAATAAACTTAATTAATTAAAAAAGAATTGTCAGACTGGGCACAATGCCTGCCTGGCAAGTACAAGGCCCTGAGTTCTGTTCTCAATACCAAAAAAGAAAAAAAAAAAAGATGATAACCAAAAGCCCCTTTTTAAAAAACCCTTTAAAATTACTACAGATCTCATGGAAATTCAGGAGATCATGAATACCAACTTTGAAAATCTTTACTCACATAGGGTGGAAAACAGACAGAGGAAATGGACAGATTTCTAGAATCATATGAATTACCAAAGCTCAATCAAGAAGATATAACAATTTTGAATAACCCAATACCACCTGCTACTTGAAAATGTGATTAAAAACTTACCAACAACAACAAAAAGCTCAGGTCCTGATGGATTCATGGCTGAATTCTACAAGAAATTTAGAGAAGTTTTAACATCAACACTCCTCAGACTCTTCAATGAAATTGAAAAGGAAACAAGTCTCCCTAACTCATTCCTGGAGGCAAGTATTACTCTGATACCAAAAACAGAGAAAGATCCAACCAAAAAGGAGAACTATAGGCCAATCTCTCTAATGAACATTGATGCAAAGATTCGCAATAAAATATTGGCAAATAGAACACAGCAAATCATCAAAAAGATTATACATCACAACCAAGTGGGATTCATTCCAGAATGCAGGGATGGTTTAACATACAGCAGTCAATAAATGTAATACATCACATCAACAGAGTCAGAAACAAAAACCATATGATCATCTCAATAGATGCAGAAAAAACTTTTTATAAAGTCCAACACTTGCTCATGGTAAAAACTACAGAAACTCGAAATAGATGGTAACTACCTCAATCTGATAAAGGCCATCTCTAACAGACCAACAGCCAACATTATACTAAACGGACAAAAACTGAAAGCTTTCACTATAAAATCAGGAACAAAATAAGGATGTCCACAATCACCACTCCTATTCAATATAGTTCTGGAAAAATTAGCCAGAGCAATTAACAAGAGAGAGAAATAAAAGGAATAAGGATAGGAAAGGAAGAAGTTAAATTATCACTATTTGCAGATAATGATACTCTACATAAAAGACCCCAAAAACTCCACTAAAATACTACTAGAGGTAATATACAAATTCAGCAGTAAAGCTGGATACAAAGTCAATGCTTAAAAATCAATAGCATTCTTGTACACAAACAACAAACTCACTGACAGAAATTATGGAAATATTGCCTTTCACAATAGCAACTAAAAAAATGAAATACTTAGGAATCAACCTAACCAAGAATGTAAAAGTCCTATATGCTGAAAATAATACTTCTCTTAAAAAGGGGATTGAAGAGGACATCAAAAAATGGAAGGATATTCCTTACTCTTCATTAAGAAGAACCAACATTGTGAAAATGGCCATACTGCCAAAACTGTTATACAGATTTAATGCAATCCTAATAAAAATACCATTAACATACCTTACAGACCTAGAGAAAACATTCCTAAAATTCATTTGGTGACAGAAGAAATGTAGAATAGCAAAGGCAATTCTGGGCAACAAAGGCAAAGTAGGAGGCATCTCAATTCCTGATGAAATTATACTACAAAGCTACAGTGATAAAATCAGTATGGTATTAGCAAAGAAATAGAGCTGAGGATTAATGGAACAGATTAGAAGATGCAAACACAATTATAAAGGCACTCAGTCACCTTATATTTGACAAAGAACCTAAACATATCCACTGGAAGAAGGATAGCCTCTTTAATAAATGATGTTGGAAAAATTGTCTTTCTATCTGCTGAAGACTGACACTAGATCCATGCCTATCACCATGCACTAAAGTCAAAAAAGGATCAAAGATCTCAATACTATGTACAATACTAGCTGTATTGTACAGAAACTGTCAACTAGTTTCCCTTGCATGAACTTTAAAATTTACTACTTCATTTAATCTATTAATGTGACAAATCTGAATTGATGATCACAAATTACATAGTATTTAACTAATAGCAATTAAAAGCCAGCCACTAAAAGTGTTCTGTATTCCTTCTTGCAACAACTAGCCAGCTAAGCAACGAACAAACCTGTAGCAAATGGACGTTGTAATCACTTTTTCCAAGATATGTATGCACAGAATAAATACAAGCAAAGGCTGCATTCTCAGTGAAAAGTGTCCTTAGTGTGTGTGATTGACAAGAAAGAAGATTCTGGATTCCTAGAAAACAATTTTTGGGGCTATGTTGATTCTTATTCTGAATGTTTACGTGATGTACAATATATTTTTGGAAGGTATTTTTGTCTCAGTGTTTCTTTCTACAAATGTAATGCTTTGGTATTTCCACAATATCCCTCCTTCACCAGCAGATGGAGAGCATTTCAACTCAGCGCTGAATGGACCATGTCGTGCAAGTAGTTTGTGTGGATTTGAAACTGAAGGATGCATGAAGCATTCAGAGACTTAATACCTGGAAAAGAGATTCTCCGTCTTTCATATTTTTTACAGACACTGATATTTGTAAACTTAATAAACTTTAGAAGCTGCTACATGTTTTCCAGTACATGTTGAACAATAAAGATTGAGGAGTTGTTTTCTTAAGTCACCAAAAACAGCTGTTACAAAAATGTTGAACTAAAATTCTTTTTTTAAATTTTTGTCTTTTTCCTTTTTATCAGTACCGGGGATCGAACTCACAACTGCCTGCTTGCAAGGCAGGTGCTTATGCCGCTGAGCTAAACCTCCAGCCCCTAAAATTCTTCATAAATTTTCCATGAGTAGATATTATTGTTACTGTTTTTCAAATAGACACTTTTAGGCTCTGAAGATAATGTGAGGGCTACAGATGTAGCACAGTGGTTGCCTAATTAGTGAAAAGCGCCTCGGTTACTTTTCTGTTGTTGCTCGGTTATGCTGGGACCCATCATCCAAAACGAAAGAAGGAAAGGTTAATTTAGCTCACTGTTTGTGGAGATTTCAGTCCGTAATCAATTGGCTCCAGAGCAGGGTGACATGGCACTGGGGCGACACTTCAAGACAGCAGCAAGCAAAAGAGCAGGAGCAAAAGGGAGCAAGAGCAAGCCTCTCGGAGAGGTGAGTGGGTCACGGGTGCTATACTGAGGGGAGAATTAACCCACTGTGGTTTGTGTTGAATGTGTGATTAGGAGTGGGGCTCCATTGCAGTGGGTCCCTGGGGCTGTGCCTGCTGAGGGTTTGTCTCCTGCTGAGGCTCTGCCCCTGCACTCTGCTTCCCATCTGCCCAAGGAGAACCTTTACTGCACCAAGCCTTTTGCCATGATGTTCTTGCCTTGGACCCAGCCAACCATGGACTGAAACCCATATAATCATGAGATTATATGAAATCAGTGACTATTGTCTCTGGGGCAGGAGATTGGAATTTGAAGAAGGAAACTTGCTTTTTATTGAATATAATCCTGTGCTATTTGAATTATGTAATATAGAAATGTGTTACAGCTTCATTTTGGTTTTGTTTTGCCTAGGTTTTTTTTTTTTTTTTCATTTTAAAGATTACCTGATGGTTGGTGATGTATACTGTTAAGACAGCTCCTGCTGGACCATGGTGACAACTTTGAAGAGAATTTCCTCTAGGTTGCAACATTCTTGTAAGATTTGTCATACAAACACAAACCTGTACATGGGTCAACTGTCTAGTACCAAGGCAGGACTTCTATGGCTCCCTCCCTCCCTCCACAACTCCCGCACTCTGACCTTCCCTCTACCCACTCGTCCTTCTCTCCTCACTGTTCTGTAAACCCTCTGCGGATGCATTTATGTACACTTAGATTTAATAAGAGGTGAAAGATTTACACTATCTGAAGAGAACCAGAGTGTATTGCACACTTAGATTTAAATGTATCATTTTTTTAGTTTTTATAACTTTTTATTTTAAAACCTACACAAAAAAGGCTAAAAATGATACAGAATTTCAAAACAGAAAAATAGGGAATTAACACTAGTTAACATAGAGCATATTTTCATCCTCAAAGTAGTTGCTCAGACTATAAGATTTATTTTAACTTTATTATTATTATTATTTTGATCGACCTCATGACCTCGTGCTTGCCAGGCAGGTGCTTATGCCATTAAGCTACATCCCTGGCCCTAACTTTATTATTTTTTTAAAGACATGAAGACTGCTATGGCAGACTCTGAATTCCAATATACATTTGCCCGCCCCGTGAGACTGAGTTTCATTTAGTTTTACTCTATTTCTCACCTTTTTGTTCCGCCTGCCTAACCTTTGCCTGTTCTATTTACCAGCTGGAAAGTACATATAGCAGAAAAAAGCTCATTCTTTCCCCCGCTGTCTACTTTCTGTTGCTCTAGAATCTCGGGTTCTGGAGTCCTGTTTTTTAATAGCCTTGAACTTCATTTTTTGCTGTCCTTCACACCTCCTTAAACACCTTTACCATTTCTCCCTCTAACCCCCTTCAGCTCAGTTTCTCCGTCCTTCCACCTAGACTGGGGTGATTGCTTACGGGGAGTGTGAGATGGTCAGGCCGCCTAAGCAAGTTCCCCTGTCTCGACCCCTCAAACCCTGGCTGCCTAGATAGCTCCTAATACATTTAGAATTTTTCTAAAAATGCCTTTTCTTGTTCTCACGGGAGAATACTCCTATCACAAGCTAGTCTATCATGTGAAAATGGAATTCATTTCTATTTATGTATTTTAACTTATTTTTTTTTTTTTGCAGTGCTAGGGATGAAACCTATAGCCTCACACATGCTAGGCAAACTCTGTATCAGTGAGCTACATCCCTAACTCCGAAGTGATAAAATAAAGGGCATACTCAAAGTTCCAAAGGCAAGGCTCCAACCTTAGTAACTGAGACTCGAAGAGTTCTGCTAGAGTGAAAATAGTAAACTAATCCAAATATTACTATGATACTCATCTCTTACAGACGAGGAAACTGAGCAACAGAGAGTCTACATCAGTCCTGAAAGGTAAGTGGCTGGTAAGTAGCAGGGCTAGGATGTGAATCCATGTAGCATGACTGTTAAAATCATTGTCTTGTTAGAAAGGTAGATCAACAACAACTTCTTATAGTTGAAAAGGCAACATGGAGCTCTCCTTTCTCTCTCCCAAGTCTATAACAAGCAATGAAAAATACGTAAAGGTGTCTTTATACCATAGCATCTCTCAGGAATTCATTGACTCTTTTTCCAATTGCATGCCCCACAGGTCTCAGGGAACTGGCACATGGACATTCATGACACAATATTTTGTTTTTCAAATGACAGCTGTGGTATGAAGATATATTTTGTTGCTTGTCTCTTCCCTGATGAATTTTGTGTGTGTGTGTGCACGTGCATGCATGCTATCTCATATTTATGAAAATGAAATTCAGGGATGAACAGTGGAGGGCAAGGAAGTAGTTCTTAACAACTTCTCACTCTGCTTGTGTGGCTGTGATCCTTACTGAGGCCTTTTCATTTTTGACAACTCCCATATAGAATTTTTCCCTAACCTATTTCTCTGGAGTTGTTAACCATTTTTTCTGCCTAGGAATGTAGACTAAACCCAGCTATTTATTATCATATGCTTGTGTTTATTATCTATTTATTATAATATGCTTCTGTTTTTATCATATGCTTATTTGGGGACACACTGAGTGTGAAATTTACAGGGTCTGATGAAACCAGTCTCAGAAAAAGGAGAGAAGTAGAACATACATGGGTGTATTTGTATTTCAGAAAGATAAGACTTACATCAATTTTCTGTTTCCAAAGCTTCCTTTAACAAAGGAACAAAGATTTTCATTTAGTAGATTTTCAGGTGAAAGAAGCCACTGGGATCATTTCTGATAGTCCACAATCTCGTTTACCCTATTGGTTTTACAGAGTGAAATGGCCCAGTGTCTCCCTCCTAAACAATGATATAAATTTACCCAATGTCAAGGAACTCTAAAGAGGGTAGAAGAAAAAAATTTGTACATTTGCTCCCTGATACTAATATCTTTTTAGACAACAGGTATGAAACAGTTTTGTATCATTTTTCTCTGGGTGCTGAATATTAATGTTCCCACATCTAAAAAATACATAGTTTTATAAAAAGATTAAACAAGTCATTCTTGAAGTTCAATAGAAAATGACCTGTTTTGTATTTAAGTGGAGATAAGCTAATTCTGTGCAATTGTTTCAGGGCATCTATCTGACAAATATCTTTTAATAAGTGGCTTTGTTTACCTTGGGTATCATTTCAACCACAAATTTTGGGGAAAGTCAAAAGTCTACAGAATTTTAGCATTCAACAGAATTTAAACTGAGTAATTTTTATGTGTTAAATTACACGGGAACATTCTTTTTTTTTAAAGGCTCCTACTGTTGATCTCTTTTGGGGAGCTGAGGGTCTTTTGGGAAGGCAGATTGATGCTTCTTCGCCTGTTTCTGATGATGAACTGTGAGACTGGTTATGTTGATCTTATTTTTTTCTGGAAGAACATATTTTACAAATTGAACTCATTTCCCTTTCAAAAAAAAAATCTGCTTCTCTTGCAATAATAAAAACAAATATACCGGGGCTGGGGATTTAGCTGAGTGGCATAAGCCCCTGCCTTGCAAGCAGGCGGTCATGAGTTCGATCCCTGGTACCGATAAAAATAAATCAATTGCCACAAAAACAAATATACCATTATTAAAATAATACATACAAGACAGAAACCCTCTCAATGATAATTTTTACTTCCAGACATAAACAGGCTATTATTCTGAGCTTTTTTTTTTTTTTTGAGACATAGTCTCATTGTGTAATTCAGGATGGGCTTGAACTCAATTGTATTGTAGGCTGGCTTTAAACTCATAGCAATCCTCCTGCCTCAGCCTCCCAAGTGCTAGGATTACAGGCTTGCACCATCAAGCTTGTCAATAGGCCACTCTTTTTAGAATACTGAGATTTTGTGAATAGAAGAGTTGGCTGTCTTTAGCTATAGTACAGTTTTATACAACAGGGAAGCTTGGTACTTTTTCCAGCTCTGATTAGGGGATTTTGCACCCAAATATTACTCTAGGCAGGAGTGATTTGGGGAAAGATGATATTGCTGGTTACTAATAACAACTGCTAGCGCTTACAGAGTGTGTTATATGCCAAGGACCACCCCCCCACACACAATTTTACGTTATCTTTTTATTGAATGCTCATAAACTTATAAGCTGGACATCATTACTATTCCTATTTTCTAGACAGGGAAAACTGAGCTTTAGTGAGTTTAAGTAACTTTCTAAAATAGGAAAGCCAGAAGTTGAATCCAGCAAGTCTTTGCTGCTGTCTTAAAATATAGTGGGCTAGGAGGGCACTGGAGACTAGGAAAGCACTGTTGAGAATCTTCTGGCTACACTAGAACATTATCCGGAAACTCCTTCTAAAAGTGGCTCACCAGTTAAACATTCCTGGGTTCTAGGTTGCCCGCCTCTCCTTCTGGTGTTATTTTCCAGGTTTTTCTTGTCTCAAACAAGGAGTTGACCACAACAAGCAAAAAGTAGTGGGAAAGTTTATTTTAAAAAGTAACAGTGAAGAGTGGGAGAGAACTGGCTCTGCAGAGTGAGGTTGGGCCAAGTAAAAGAGGAAAAAGCAGGAGAAAGCAGGCCATTGTGAGGGAAGACAGACAGAAAACTCTTCTCAGGGTCTGTGTCCTTTCATACTGTTGAGATCTTGAGGAAACCCACAAAAACTCCTACACGGGGCGTCTAGAGGCGGTGCTGGAGCCCAAGCCTTAGGCTCAGGTCAGGTCTGGGCCGTCCTATTGAAATCTGAGTTCTCAGGTTCATGAGTGGGGCTTTAGGAACTGTGTTCTGAGATTCTGTAATTAACAGGCCACACCCTAATCTCCCGTGTCAGTATCAGTTAATACAACCCTTGTGAAAGCATTTCAAAAATACTCATATAAAAGCACTTAGTAGTATATACTTTCACCAAGTAATTCTACTTCTAAGGGTCATGTTTAAGGCATTTGTGAAGTGGCTTGACAATAATTAGGTACAAGAACATTTCCTGCATTATTATCTGCAAAACCATATAATGTAGGTTGGGTTAGAGGAGAAAAGCAGGCCGTTTCTTCCTCACACTCAGCTCCTAAGACTTTGGTGTAGGTTTGTTTCCCTCGTGCCAAAAAGTTGTGAGGTGGACACAACCAAAAATACCTTTTTAGTTGTTTCTGATTGTTTAGTTGGGTTTAATCACTTATTATCTGGTTTCCTGCACTACAGGGTATGTTCCATGAAGTCAGAAAATTTCTCCATTTTATATGTCACTGTATTCCCAGTATATGAGACTTGTTTGGTACATAGTACTGTAGTTACAAAGAACAGAATCTGAACAATTTGGTTTAATTATTTTATCTATTTTTATATTTTATATATTGGTTTATGTTTATTTTTATTGTATCAGGAATCTAACTCAGAACCTTGTGCTTGCTAGTTCAATGGTTTCAATTGGCTTTATTTTTTTTAGCCAGGCTACACTTCATTCCATAAAACAGAAGTATTCCAATGAGCTGAGTGGAAGAGTTTGGTTTTCTCAAAAGAAAAAAGAAAAGGGCTGAAGAAAGCAGAAACAGAAAACCTAAAAAGGCAGATTGGTCATTGCAGAATTACTTTGTAAGGAAATATATAAAACGATATGTAACTTTACTTAGTTAATTCTATCTATTTGAATTTATTTTAAGGAGCTAACTGTAGGTGAGAAATGATATGCATAATAAGGGCAGTCACCTTATTATTTATGGTAATAGAGAGCACAGCTAACTAACCACTAATGTTACATTATGCTAAGTCAAGTAAATGGATATTATGATATATAGATTAGTATGAAAAAAACTTATGAAATAGTGGAGAGTGGAGAAAATTAATTCTGCAACAGCATACATGGAATGATTACATTCTAATAAGGTTTGATCCAGTTCTGCTTGTATCTTTGCATATAGTAATGCATGAAAAGATATTTGACAAAATATTAACAGTGTGAGGAAGTGGGATTTGGGTGACATGAGCAAGATTTGGGGTGATTTCTCCTGACCTTTGTATATTCTTGTTTAATTTTAAAAACAAACTTCATGATGACTTGCTGGGAGTGTCATCTCTGTCTCTGTGGCCCTTGCTGTCCTGTATCTGTGGTATAATCTCAAGGTTCAAAGAAACTTCCAAAAGATAACCTGGAGGCATTAGTCTAAGAAGGGTGTAAAAAATAAATACATGAATTCACACTTTAAGCAAAGCCAGTAGAACTCTTCTGCAAGTGAAAAGTGCTTTTCAGAATTTATTCTATTGCACTCTATGTCAAAGTGACCATACTTCCTGTGGAAGGCTTATCTCACGGTGCCCACAGCAAGGGTCAAGGGTTGTAAGGCTTTGCAAGTTAGAACCCTATCTGATCTTGCAGACCAGATAGCAGGGGCCTTCGAACTGGTCTCCCTGCCCTCTTCTGCCCCTCGGTCCAATGCAGTGGGCTATAGCAGCATCCTGTGACTCTTTGGAGAGAGTCCAAGTTCAAAGCTGCAGTCTCAGTCTTCCACATGCACTTCTCAGCTTCTGTTTCCAACCCCATCCCAGCCGCTCTTTTCTTCACACTTCATCTGCCAGGTCTCACTGCTCTTCCTTAGTCCCTAATGCTTGTCTTTCTCTTTCTCTGAAATTCCTTGCTCTCCAGCTCTCTTTCACTTGAGGCCCATCTCACAGATGAGGTTTTCACCTACCCCTGGAGAAGCACCTCCTAGAAGTACCACAGTAGTATCTACTTACGCCAGCACAAATTCTTTTCTTCTTGGGAAATTGTTTTTCCGTTAGTTATGTATTGGGTGTGCCTGACTGGTAGTGTTTGAGGTCAGGAAATGTTTCTTATGCTTTCTGCATTATCCACAAGGCCTATTTATTTATTTGTTCAACAAATATTTATGTTTTTCTTTTGATACAGGAGTTGAATTCAGGACCTTTTGCTTGCCAGGCAGGTGTTGTGCCACTGAGCTATATCCTCAACCCAACAAATAGAAGAACTCTATGATTCCTCTCCCTTTGCAAGGCCACACTTTTTTTCTATTGAGCACCCCCATAATTCAATCATCTTCCAAAAGTCCTACCTCTGAACACCTAAGACTCTTGGGGGACATCTAGATCCAAGTTATAACAAATTTTTAAAAAATACCTAAGTTGGCATGGTGGTGTGCACCTGTAGGGCCAAGTGCTTGGGAGATTAAGAGAATTCTAGGCCACTTGAACAGCTCATAAAGATTTTGTCTAAAAAAAGATGGTCCATGCGGAGTGCCAGAGGTACATGAAGAGTTCCATTTAAACTCAGCACTAGACTTGATGTTTACAGGGTGTAAGTATGTGTGGTAGGGTAAAAAGGTATAGAAAACTATGAACTTTCAAAGTTAAAGACTGAGTGGGTTAGGATGCCTTTTTTTTAGGGGAAAAAAGGACAAAAGTCTCAGAGTATCTGTATAGCTTGTTGTCGGTTCAAAAGCTAGGTCCCTGTTCCTCACAGAACCTTGATATTGTCAAATGACCAAACCCATCAGCCCCCAGGGGTGCTTAGATTGTCATTCAACCAAAGGGGCATTTCCCTGTTGATCACTGTTAGTACAAGGGTGGACATGACCCTTAAAATAGCACTGTCACCCTGCATGCATGTTTCATGATTGGCCTGTTGTGGGAAGTACTCAGAAGAGTGGGGCAGCTGAGCATCAGACTGAAAAGGGAAGAAGCCCCAGGGAACTGGAAAGGAATGAGGGAGATCATAGAGACAGAGCCGCTCAGAAAATCCATCTCACAAAGTTACTTAGGAACCCATGGCTCACCCTTACCCGCACATGCACAGACCTAAACCTCAGCTGAATACCAGAGGTGGGGGCACACACATGGGATGGGCTTGAATAGATTTGCAAAACCTTTGAAAACTGAATTGTTATTAGCACCAAAAAAGCTGGTTAGAACTTTTGGCCTGAACCTAATTGGTTAGTTATTTGCTTAAAAAACGAAACAAAACAAAACACAATTCTCCACCGGATTTAAACAAGACCCAGAGCTCCATAACATGATTGGAATACAATCTAAAATTTCCCAACATGCAAAGAATCTGGAAAAATGTCAACTCACATGGGAAAGGATAAGCAACAAGTGACAACTTCCAGGTGACACCAAGTTTGGAATTGAAACTTTTTAAAAGCTATTATAGATTGTTCCAAGAAATAAGAGCAAGCAGTTTTGAAATAAGGAGAGAAACTCAGCAAAAAATAGAAGATTAAAATAAAGAACCAAATGGAAATTTTGGAACTGAAGAACATGATTATCAGAACACAAACCTCTCCAGATGAACTGAATAGTGGAATGGAAATAACAGAAAAATCAGTACATTTGAAAAGAGATAATTAGAAATGATCCAGCCTAAACAAAAGAGAAAGAGAGAGAGACAGAAAGAGAGAGACAGAGAGAGAGAGAGAGAGAGAGAGAGAGAGAGAGGCAGAAAAAGGCTGGGCAGGTGTGGGAAGAGCAGATGCCTTCCTTTCTTGTGGGGAAGAGGAACAGAGGGTTTAAAATGACATCATCCAGATAAAGAGGAGTGAAATTCACAAAAAATATTCAAAAGAACAGTGAATGAAAATTTCCCATATTTTGAAAATAAGCCCCAAATATGTAGAAACAAGGCAAAAAAAAAATCATAGAAGATAACCAAGGATTGCAAAGGTCTTGAGACACACAATTGTTCCTTAATTATTATAGGAAAAATCATTTTTTGTCTTCTTGAAACAGGGTCTATCTATGCAGTTCAGGCTAGCCTTAAGATTACCTTGTAGCCCAGGCTGATCTTGAACTTGCAAAGATTCTCTTGCCTAACCTTCCCTAATGCTGGGATTACAAGTGTATACTACCATGCCCAGCTCTATTATGAGAATTTTATCTCAAAGAATTTTATGTTTCTGAGTCTCAATTTCTTTAATTGCAAAATTAGTAGAATAATGTAAAAATAAGAATATGGGGAGGACTTGTGTGAAGTAACCCAAGAAAGCACTTAGGGCAACTCTAGCCTCATAGTAAGGGCTGAAAACATAGTTTTTTAAAAAGGAAAAGAGAGGGATCAGCCAAGATGTTAAGGATGATAAGCACGCTAAAGAGCCTACAGAGTTCTTTAAAGTGGAGATGATGATCATCTTGGAAGCAGAAGCCAGATTGTTTTGAATCGAGGAGTCATTAGGAGCAGCAGAAAGGGAGTCCATATAAATGTTTTTCAATGAAGTTTGGTGATGAGACTGTGAAACAAAAGGTTTACTTGAGAATGCAAAGCTGATGTGATATTTCTTATTTAAAATGGAGATTTGATCCCACTTGCTAAACTGAAGGGACAAAGCAGTAGAGAGGGAAGATTAGTGATTCAGGAGAAAATGGGATGGCTAACGGCATATGGCTTTGCAAAGGGCAGGAGTACCTGACCCTAATCCATAGGTGTTCTGATTGTCTTATTGTGGGATTTGTGGTGGTGGTGGTGTGTGTGTGTGTGAGATCTCATGTTAATTCAGTGACTTAACACAGAAATTAAAAGTCTAATTATAATCAAAGAGGATGCAAGACTTCTTTCTATAGTTTGCTGATTATGTGATTTCATGAACATGCAGAAAATGTACAAAATGATAATACCTGTAAGGTATATTGTTGTAAATAAAAGGTTTTGGGGGTAATTTTTTGTGGTTTGGTTAAAAATTTTTGTAATTTTAAAAAATTATGATATAAAAATAAAATATAAAACATGAAGGATAATTTTAAAGATCAAATTTGTAGAACGATTCTAACTAAAATATTCTCAATCTGGCTTCCTGGAAACCTAGACTGACTTCTGTGGACACAATTTATATGCTTGAAAGAGCCAGAAATATTTCTGTGTCAACCGCATTAATGATTATTCCTTTCTTTTTTCTTTCTGTCTTTCTTTCTTTGTCTCTTTCTTTCTTCCTTTCTTTCTTTCTTTCTTTCTTTCTTCCTTCCTTCCTTCCTTCCTTCCTTCCTTTTTTTTGTTGGGGGAATCAAACTCATGACCTTGCACTCACCAGGCTAGCACTTAAGCCACTGAGCTACATTCCTGACCTCATTAATGATCATTTCTTAATATTCAACATGAATGAAAAACTTTATTCAGATTAGCTGCTGAGCTGGGCATGGTGGTGCACCCCCATAATGCTAGCACTTGGGAGGCTGGGACAGGAATAATGCTGTGAGTTTGAGGCCTGCATGGCTACATAGTGAGTTCAAGGCCAGCCTGAACTGCACAAGGAGACCCTGTCTCAAAACTAACAAACAAAAAAATTAGTTGCCGATTTAAAGTATTTATTTTTTTCAGTCTTTAAAATTTATAATAGTTGCCGAGAAACTAACAGTTCTTTCATCCTTTTATAGATAATTGTGATATTGAAATTTATTGTAATATTTCAAATAAAGCTTTTTAAAAAATCTTTTTCACCTTAGGTCCTTTGCAGGAGTGAGGAAGGACTAACCCGAAGGAAAGTCATGGGTTACTGGAGCTGTCATCTTGCAAAGAGCCTGACTGTCACTAAAAAAAAGATCATCCATCAGCCACAAAGCAAATCTGCTCAGTTGGGTTCGGGACAAGGGTTCCTAGCTGCCAGTAGGCCAAGCAGCTGCCCTGAGCCCCTAACCAACTGCCCTTGGGCTGCGATCTGGGATGCTCAGGCTGCTGCACCTGGAAGTCATGGAGCAGTTTCCCAGGCTGGTGCCAGACTGCACAGAGACACGCTCTGCTCTGGGGCTGAAGGAGCCGTCCTGCCAGGGCAGTGCCTTTTTGGCTCTGTTTATTATGGAGCCACGAAACAGAGAGTGCTGCAGTGGCTATCATTTCTGATGGTGACCATCCAGATCTAAACCCTCTGCTTAGGGGTCAAGGGTCTCCCAAGCCTCTCCCAGGGACCATGAGGATAGGGGAGCAGATACCAGTGGTACCCCAAGTGCATCTTCATTCCACACCAGTGGACTCACACAGCACAGTTGTTGGAAACAAAACCCTGGGGATTATATGAAAGTATTGGTGTTAATTAATGGCTTAATATGTGAAAGATACACATGCAAATATAATTATTTAAAAATTACTGGATTTTTGAAATATTAATTCATGCCCAGTGAGGAAGCATAATGAAAAATATTATTACATTCCCAATACCAACAACAGCGGTGAAACAGCTAAAAATAATATGACAAATCTGAAAGAAGGCTGGGATTGTACCTTAGTCAGTGGTAGAGCGCTTGTCTAGCGTGTGCAAGACCCTGAGTCTGATTGCTAATACTGCAAAGAGAAAAAAAGATTATATGAACACATGACAAGGTTTTATTGTAAGATATAAAAGAAGACTTCAGTAGAGCCATTCTATCCTTGTAGATGGAAGAATTGAATATATTAAAGCTGTCAAGTCTACCAAGCTCCCTTATGATATAACTCCCAATAAAAATACTAGTGGTTTTTTAAAAAAAAAAAATGTAACAAAATCATTCTAAAATACATGTGAAGAATAAATAGGCAAATGTAAATAATATATATGAGGGGAATAGAACTAGTGGCTGAGAGGGATTAGCTTTCCCAGAAAGTAAAGCACAACAGAAAATAATAGCTTTATTAACTGTTTTCCTTTCTGGAATAACTTAAAACAGAATACACAGACCAGAAGCATCCCGTGGAGTGTGTAAGGTGATAATGATAAAGATAGCATCACGGAACTGGAAGGAGAAGAAAGATTCTCCACTGAGTGGTGGTGGGCGGGATGCGTTAGTGCAGGGGATACAGAACTGTTTTGCTGAGTGTGTTTCTATGTGCAAAGCTTTCAAAAAGAGTCATACTTTGAATGCCTCTCCTAAGCCTTTTTTCCCCTCCTCGCTGGATCAGAAAGAGAGAAATTAATGAGCTTAGAAGAAAGTATGTGGCTCAGGCCTCTTCTCTCTCTCTGGAATCTGTCTGCCTGCACAGTGTGTGTGTACTGGTCAGCCCTCTGCTTGTTGTTGCCTTTGGAGATTTGCAGGGCTCCAGCATGGCTGGGGATTGATTGCATACACAGAAATCTGGGGGTAAGATGTATTGGCTAACTATTATATATAACTAAAATTACATGTTTTAAGCTGCTTTAATTTAAAAGAAGGAAGACAATTGCTATCTATGTTTACCCTATTTACCTTTCAGTTTTGGGGACTGAACCCATAGCCTCACATTTGCTAAGCCCACAATTTACCACTCAGCTACATTGTCAGCCCCTAAACTTATTCATTGGTTTCTAATTCATGAAGCATGTTATTTGTTGGTCTACTAAAACTATGAAAATGGTGTAATTGGTTGGCTGGTTGGGGATAACTTATATAGTAACACATATGAATAAGTGAAAAATAATCTTTACAAATCTTAAACTATGAAAAAAGAAAAACTCAGAGGCAATACTAAGTTTCTAGATCAGGAAAGACTCTGTAAAACAAAGAGAAAGATACCCTAATCGAAGCTACATAGTTTCACAAAGACAGAGTGAAATGACAATTTTTCCAGCAAAAGTTATGTAAAATTACTGTGTGAAATGTATCAACAACACAAACAATGTAGTTAAGAAAATACATACTTTCACAAAAAGAAAGGTACAAATATGTGAAAAATAGTACATAGAGAAGCAATCAAAGGAATACAATTAAAATAAAGTACATTCTATAAAGTTAAAAACGTATCAACTAAGGGTACCTAATCCGAGTGTGGGTAAAATGAAATGGTCACTGTGACTGACAGAAACATATGTCAGTACAACCTTTCTGAAAATTAATTTGATAAAATTTATTGTAATTCATCAAACATTTGTACCTTTTGACCCCAATAAATTTAAGAATCCACCCTAAGGAATTTTCAGAAATGTAAAGGAAGGGTTATGTTGTAAAGTTTTTGTTTATTAAAATAAAGGCAAAGATATATGTATGTCCAACATTAGTAAAGGTTAAGTACATTGTCATATAATAAAACATGGAGTCATTAAGTTTACAAAGTGCTTGTTAAACTTATCTGAGAGCATGAAGAAAAGAAATAAAACTTGGAACTCCTTTGTTTTAGAAATTCCTTAAGACAGCTTATGAGTGTATTTAAAATTCAGCAAGATTGCTTAAATTTGAAGTAGATGAGGAGAACAGCCCATCAAAGAAAGGACAAAATAGCTTCAAAGAAACCATTGGAAAAACTTAAATAAATTGCCAGAGTCTGAATTTTGGTTTTGCGTGAGATAAAAATCTGATTTAGGCAAATCCAAAAAGGAATTGGTTGGGAAGGTGACAGGAGATAGACACAAGGACTGGTAGGCAAGACTAGACCAAATGAGACAATTTTGTCCTGGGTCCATTGTCACCAGAGGGGGGAATTCCTGAGCTTGGAATTCAAGAGATGCACAGCACCATTGTTGTCTTAAACTGTCTCCCTTTCCTCAGTAATCTATTTCTAAAGTTTTCGATGATACACATCTGCATAGGTACAGTGCTTGTGCTCTCTGCTTTGATTTTACAGCAAGTGTTGGACAACATAGTAAAAGTTAGGAGTGATAAAAAATGAATCGAGTGACTTTATACCATCCCAGATGACATACATAGGAAAAAAAGAGGGTAGAAGAAGGCACCGAATTACCTACTGTGACTGGTGTAGTGGGATACACGACAACTTAGTTTTTGGTTACTTATGGACAAAGGATTCAAACACAGCTAACGTGTGTAAAGCTGCAAAGGTATGAAAATATACTCAGGATCACTAATGACCAAAGAAATGACAAATAAAACTTTAAGAATGTGTCTTTTTGTTTAGTAGGCAGACAACTTCTAATAATGGTTTATAATGTAGAACTAAAAAATAATGGTATCAAAGAAATCATCAATGAAATTGTTTGACAAAATTTCCTAGAAATAAGGGAAACTGAGAGTTCATTGAGTAGCCATCAGCGTAGATGAAAATAGATTCCCATCAGCTCATGATCTCAGGCAATTTCACAGCACAGGACAAAGAAAAGACACCACAAGAGCATGTGCTGCAGAAGTGAGCGCGAGATCCTGCCTGTGTCAGGGAGAAAGAGAAGATGCATCAGGGACTCTGGGCAGCTCGGCAGCAAACTGAAAGCTCGAAGATAGCAGAGGAATAGCCTCAAAACTATCAGAAGGAAACTGATTTCCAGGCTTTAATTTTATACCAACAAAATCAGCTATCAATTGAGATTAAGATAGACGTTTTAAGAGTTCACAAATTTAATTCTGATTTGTTTTCTCTCCCTTCTTCCTGCCCTCTCTCATTCCTTCCCTTCTCCCCTTTCCCCTCCTTCTCCTTCTCCTTTCTTTTCTCCTGGGTATTGAATCCAGAGCCTTTTCCACGCTAAGAACACTCTGCCACCCTGTGCCATCCCACCTTGATTCTTTTTTTTCCTCAGGAGGGCTATTGAAGGATGTGTGCCTCAAAAACTACGGAGTAAAGCAAGAAAGAAGAGAGCTAGAAAATGAATCAGGGAAAGATACTACAGTGATGTTACAGAAAGACCCTACAAGATAAGTCAGCTCATATTAGAACAGGTCAGAAACCTCTGAAAGAAAATGCTGGGGCTGGGGATTTAGCTCAGCGGCATAAGCACCTGCCTTACAAGCAGGCGGTCGTGAGTTCGATCCCTGGTACCGATAAAAATGAAAAAGACAAAAAAAAAAAAAAAAAAAAAAAGAAAGAAAAAGAAAATGCTTCATGCTTCAACAATATAATTTTATAAATCTTTGAGCTTCCAAACATCTTGAGAAGAATTTAGATGACTCTTGAAGTTGGATCAGTAAGTGGTAAGTGTGTTGAAAAGTAAGCAGTAAGTATTAACACAAAGGGGAAACACAAAGTTGTGCAGAAAAAGGAATATAAATCATAGCATAACTTCTGACTCAGTTCTGAATAATGTCTAAAAAGTCATCAGGATGTAAATACTGAATATTTCTAACCAAAATTACTCTATGATGATTGAGAAGATAGGGTACTGGAAAGGACCGTGTGTAGGGTAGAGAAGAAAGTCCAATCTTTTTTTGTTCATGGATGGAAATTTAATGTCTAAGCCAGTGGCCTCTTCTGGTTTTGGACTCTGTTGTGCTTGGATGAGGAGTTACTAGAGGAGCTAAGAGCCTGACGGTGAGGGTGACACACTGAGAACAGCTGATGAAAGCAGAGTTAAGGTCCTTGATGATTTACTACTGGATTAACCAAGCTCAGGACTGGTCCAGCTCCAGGCCACGTGGTGGGAAGACCTCAGTGACAACACTGTGAACACCTGTGGTTTCTACCTTCAAGTGCTTTGCACACCAACTTCCCTAAGTTGGTGTATCATCTGAGCAAGGCATGCAAAACTCTAGAAGCAAAGTGAACGTTAATGATAAGGTACACAATTATTAAGCACTGACAATGTACCATGTCTTTTAGGCTATCTGAAGACTTTCAAACTACGTGTTACTGCCTATGTGTTGTAATTTCCCCCCCAAAAAACAAGGCCCCATCATGAAAAATGGGGCAAGACCCCCGAGATGATAAATGGGGCAAGATGACGTCTTTTTTTTTTTCTTTTTCCTGGTACCGGGGATCAAACTCACGACTGCCTGCTTGCAATGCAGGCACTTATGCCGCTGAGCTAAATCCCCAGTCCCCGATGATGTCTTTTTTTAAAAGAAGCGCTTTTATTTTAGCTGGTCCAGCAATACAGTGCAGATGGAATTTGCAAAGCTGTGCAACTGAATTAGAATTTTGATTGATTTTTATAGTTCATTTATGATTAGCTCATTGATCATTAAGTACATAGTGATGAGAAACAGAAATAAGGTGGGCCTTTGTTCCCCTTTTCTTGAAGTCAGAGGCATTTCACGGTGGGTGGTTAGCCAATTCATAGCCCTTGGTGTGCCAATTCCAGGAACATTTGTCTCTCATAAAGGGAACAATGGTTGACACAGCATCATTTGTCTCTTACAAGGGGAACAAAATTTTGTTGACACAGCAAACAGGTTACTAAGGTGTGTGTGTGGGGGGGACGATGCATACAGAACCGCGTGACAACACAGTCAGTTACTTTATAACAAATTTATAACAATGTGGTTAGTGCTCCAGGTACATGGTTACTAGGGTGATCAGCATAGAGCATAACGCTATGGTTTTGAATTTTTGCATTCACAGAACTACTGAAAGAAAAGGTGATTTTACTGAAAATAGCTCCTCTTGTTTGTGGTGTTGGGGGTTGAACCCACATCCTTCACTGAGTTATATGGCTAGCCCAGTTTTAATTTTTGTTTTTGAGACGGGTCTCGCTGAATCTCTGAATCATCTAGGCTAGGCTTGAATTTGTGATTTTCTTGTCTCAGCCTTCCAAAGTGTTGGAATTACCGTGCCGTACTACCTGGTAGAAGTTTATACTTTAAAAAAACAGTTTTGTGATGTGAAAAGTTAGCATTCAACAGAAGCATATTATGATCTGCCAGTTACTTCAGAAATACTAAAGAAATGAGTAAAGCCATATAAATTTTTATGAAGACTTTGAAGTAGGTACAATGGCAAAACACACAAAAAATTGTGCTTAACCTCATAGGAGAAAATGCAATAACAATGCAGAGAGGTAGGGTTAAAATATATTGAAACTTAACTTTAAAATAAATGCGTTATGATCAAAAAGTATTGAAACTAATTTTATAGATATGTTTGCTGCTATTGGTGAAGATTCAAAAAAGCTCACTCAATCTCTAATCCTTTTCATAAGAATTTAAAAAGGAACTCACTTGCAATCTAATATACAATAGGCACTATACTTGCATTGTTTAAGGAGGTTCATTGTTTAATGGGGTAATATTACTTTCCGCATTTATCTTAAATCAAGTACCTTATACATGTAAGATTTGAATCCAAATAAGCAAATGAATACTTGAGTGTTTTGGAATAGATTTTTATATTAAATATTTCAGTGTAGGTGTGTTAGTGTGGGCGAGCCTTTTCTGATTATGGGCGCACATATTCCAGAGACCCAGAACTTTGCATTCTTCAGAGCCCTATTATCTGTCCTTATGCACAGATGTAGTTGCCCCTAGAATGGATGTGCTATGTAAATACTGTCTTCATTATTGTTTTGGGATTTTAAGGTATTCTGTCTGGAGCATTTCCATGTATTCTTCACGTCATGAAGCCTGGTTTTGAAGCATGTACCCAGAGACCAAGGAGCGTACCTATCTTCCATGCTTCTTATGATCTTCCATGAGCTTGGCTAATCATTCATATGACCTCTGGGTAAGAAAGCCTTACCAGAGTGGTAAGGAGTGAGCAGGAGGAAGAAATGTTCACACTGCACTCAGGTGTGGAGCCTGAAAATTGTCGGAGCCAAGTACACAGGGCAAGGCCTCTCCATACTGAACACAGAGACTTGCAGTCTAGATTCTGTTGGTACAGTCACAGTTTACCCACCACCTTCCAAAGATATTTTATTTGCTTGTCAAGGAATTGGTGCAAAGTAGCCTGTGAACAATATCCAGCATGTTTCTGATCAACCCCCAAATGGGACTGGAAAGCATCATACAAGATTGGGCTGTCTATAAGTGATATGTGAGAACACCAGCATAGAAAGCTTTTATGTCCATTTCAGTTATTTGATCTCTGCCAGTTAAGATGTGTATCCTCCCTGCCCTGACATCTGAAGTGAAATAAACTATCTCCATCCCTTGGGGAAATGGACATGTCAAAGGAACATGGAGACTAGAAGTGGAGAAATGTTAACATAATAACAAATAATTAAAAATGCAATTTAATAAACCAGAGCCATGAATTCATGCAGCAGATTTTCTGGATAACAAAATGTTGATCAGACTGAGCCTTTTGCTCTGATAGTACAAACAGGCCAGCTGCAGAGCTCTCTTTAGGAGACATTTTTAAATGCCAGTTGTTCTAAATTTTACTTTTATAGCAGTTGGGAAGCTGTGGATGCTCCGTATTAGAAGGGTCCCTTAGAGATCAAGTCCAATCCTTTGTTCAACAGAAGTAGAAATATATCCTAGAGAGAGGAAACAACAGAACCTAGGCCTTCTGAGTCCCACTAGAGGTCTTTCCCCTGCTTGCAAGGCCTTCCCCAGGAAAGTACCCTGCTGCCGGTAACTCATCCGCATGAGTCATTCCGACACTGTGCTTAGTTGACAGGGAATGCCAGTCCTGTGAAAGACAGGTCCGTCTTTCTCAGGTGCCCAAACTCCTGAATTACATGCACAACCCCATTCTGTTGTTTCTATAGGGTATGATAATAGCCAATTCTGTTTTTCTTCTTTTTCCCATTTTTAAAAACAAAAGGTGAGTATTTACGCTATTTTTCCCATAAGGAGTCTGGTACTGCTGTTGCACCTTAAATAAAATATTTTGATAAGAATTTTAGGTTTCAGGATATGACTATGGAAATGGATTGATAAAAAACTTAAGGCCAGAGTGTCAGCTAATTTGTCCATGTCCATGAAGTCACTCATGATAATGATGTGACATGGATCAGAACCGAGAGAAAGCTGAGGGTCAGATGCTAACATCTTCAAAAAACACAAACAAAAAAACCAAACAACCCCCCAAACAAAACAAAACAAATTAACCAGAACAACAACAACAAAAAAAGGTCAGGAGTGACAAGGTGTGGAAATCAAGAAGACGCGGTGAGTCAGTCGTCCAGTTAGGTGGCACAGACGCCACAGGAGAGGTGGAGGGTTGTGTTCCTGGAGCCACAAAGAGGCACTGATGGGAACGGGAGGGCTGTGCACAGGGCCAGATCTCCACCAAGACAGGAGGATCGGGTGCGTATCTTGCTTGAAGGTTGACAGTATGTAAAAGTTTTAAAATTTTTGTTATTTTTAAATATGAAACACAATACATGGAAAGATACATCAAACTTGGAATGTACACTATAACAAACAGCTATAAACCATACATCTACGTAACTGCCAGCTTGTTGAAGTAATAGTGTAATTTGGCATTCTGAAGTGTTTTGTGTATGTTTGCTACTTATCATCTGCCTTTCTCTAAAATTAACTTCCATCCTGACTTTTAGAGCGGTTATTTCCATCCTTTTCAATGTAGTTATTGAAAAAAAAATTTTTTTTTGGTACCTAGAATCAAACTCAGGAGGTTTCTCTTGCCAGGCAAGCATCTGTGCCACTGATCTATATCTCTGGTTTGAATATTTTTCTTTTAATTTCACTTTCCTTTCTACTCATTTGGAAGTCATATATCACATTTCATATGGCAACCTACACCCATAATTTATGAAAGAGTAGTGTTATTTTTCTCAATTTCTCAACTCAAAATTTAGGGTATTTTAGTGCTGGGGGTGCACTGGTACACACTTGTTATCCCAGCTATGTGGGAGGCTGAGGCATGAGCATCACAAGTTCAAAGACAGCCTAGGCAAACTAATGAAACTCTGTTTCAAAATTAAAATTAAATAAATAAAAGCTGGAATGTGCTCAGTGATAAAGTGTTTGCTTAGTATGTGTGAGGCCTTGGGTTCAGTTCCCAGTACTGAAACAAAAATTAGGTACTTAATTCCACTTACTGTCTTTCTAGTTGTATGCTGTTGTTATCATGTATTTTGATTCTACATAATTAATTAATTAATTTATTTATTTAGTACCAGGAAACAAACTCAGGACCTTGAGCCAGCCAGGCAGTTGGTTATGCCACTGAGCTATACCCCTGGCCCTCTATATATTATAAAAGCACTGAGACATCATCATTGTATAGTATTCATTGTGCTTTCCACATACACAACTTTTCTTTCCTCCTATTTTGTCTTATAATTCGGAAATCTTATTTATAATCATACTAGTATGAAAAGCCTATTCTTGAGAATTGCTTTCACATTGGAGTGATGATATTATCTCAGTTTTTGTTTGTCTGACATGTGTCTAACCTTTTTTCCTATGGGGATACTTGTTGGGGATAAAATTCTAGGTGACAGTAATCTTCTCTCAGCAATTGGAGCTATTGTTGACTTTTGATTTCCATTATGACTATCAAGAAATTATGCATCAGTTTAATGAATACTTATTTGAAGCAACTCTGTTTTTTTCTTCTGTGGATGCTTTTAAAGATGCTGCTGTCTCCCATTTTTCTTTAATTTTACTATGATGTATCTAACATTTTTAGTGATTTTTGGAGGGGGTTCAGTGATTCTTGACCCTGTAGATTGATATGTTTCACCAACACTGGAATATTCTTAGCCATCATTGCTTCAGATATTATCTCTCTCTGACCCATTACATGAAGATTCTTCTGGGAGCAACGAAGTATATAGTGTCTGTTTCCTATGTTTCTTACCTTCTTCTCTGTGATTTCCATTTTAGGTCTCTTTATGCTGCTTTGTGGACACTTCTGTTCTATAATCCAGTACACTAATTTTCTCTTCAGCTGTATCTGAACACCTGAGGAAGAAATGTGATGCCATCAGGAAGCAAGATGGGTCTGCTTTCATCCGCCGAGTTTAATTGCTGTTGGATTTTTCTTTCTCAGAAGTTCTATTTGGTTCTTTTACAAACATATGTTGTTCATTTTCATGATTTTCTGTTTCCCACAGATATCTTTAAGCTTGCCTTTTCTAACTTTAACATCCTAAAAACAATCATTTTATTATCTTTATATGATAGCTTCATGATCTAAAGACTCGATGTGATACTTTGTTTATTTTAATTCTTGCTGTTGTTGAGTTGCTAGCTACAACTGTATGCTTGTCATAGGTTTTATTTGAAAAAAAATTGTGAAAATAATTCAAGGTCTGGAATGAATCCCTGAGAGAATTTTCTTTGCCTCTGTTTAGGATCTTTGGCCACTAATAGTCAAGGGCCACACAATATCAATCATAAAGACTGAGGTTCCCAGGATAGACTGCTTCAGCTTCAATCCAAGGCTGCTGTCCTAGCTTTTGATGGGGAACCTTTGTGTGTCTCCTATTAGACTATCTACCGGCTCAAGGGCTGGGATCCATGAATGTTCCCATTATTTTCAAGGACATCAAAACCAAAGTTTAAACTTTTCAGAAGGACAAATATCCTCAGTAGCTCTTCTGCCCATTTAATTCACTAAGCTTTTACTTTCCTCTGTGGTTTTGTAACTTCTTACCTTCTTCTCATCTTTTTTGGGGGCTTTAAGGAAGGCTTAAAAGTGAATGCAGCTCTTTTTAAATTATTGCTCCAAGTATTTTATAAGATGATGCTACCTGAAATAGGGGGTTGGGATTATTTTTACACAGAGTGAAGACTCCAGAGGGTATAGTAGGGAATCTTTTCGAAAAAGGGGATCATATTAGAAGGAGGAGAACCCTCGTCCCTAAAGACTTTGAAGTGGTTGAAGGAGAAAGTTCTATCTTGTGTAGCTACTTCTGACAGAGACATCGGGTTCCATTGGGTCAGGTTGGCTGAGTCCCGAGCAACTAAGACATAGGTTATCAAAGGTTTGAGTATCAGAGTAACTGTGTTGTAGTCAGGGGTTGTGAGGAGAACAATTAGAATCAAGACACAGAATTTACAATATTATTTTATGATAGTCACCCAGAATTAACACAAGAAAGTACTGGAAATCTATCTACAATGCTAAAGACTCATAATATTCAGCCAATGGCCTGACTCCCACAGCAATGTCCTGCATGATGAGTTCAGATGAAGACCCAGAGCCCATGACAATGCCTCCCACAGCCCCAACTGGAGGTCTAGAGCCCACAAAAAGGACTCATGCCAGTCTGTTTTATGGATCCATACTGGGAAGGCCCAAAAGTCAGTGGTGGAAGCTGGAAAGTCTATGCCAGCAGGGTGAAGGAGCTGTGCTGGTAGGTTGAGGATTCTATGCTGGAGCCGAGAAGTCACGCTCAAAACAAAGATCAGGGCTGTTTTGAAACAGCACAGCCATCTTCAGCGACACGGAGGCCCCGAGCTCTTGCGATAATAAGCACAGTCGAGTACCTGCCAGAAAGCAGCATGATGATTTTCTCCTGGAGAGTAAAGGCACACATCTTCCACTCCAGAGCCAGGAAGCGATGTTCGATGTAAGGACCAGAGCACCCCCAATGTAAACCACAGCCACTCTTACCAACAAGGTCCGGAGCTCCTCTAATGACAGTGGTCAAACTCACACTGGGGAAGCTAGTCATGAAAAGCTCTTCCAGGAGAACCAACAGCTCAATCAGCAACACATAGGAGAACCCATAAACAGCTTGCATCTCCTCCACATCTCTACTTGTGCTAACTTTCCTCAGGTGGAACATCTACGTTCAGCACCATGCTTATTTAATTCAGCTGGCATTAAGTTGACCATCAGTTTTTAATCCATAACAAACCTCATGTGACAAGAGTATATCTCTTTTAATTATTGCTATCGGGCACTCTGATATCACCATAGAGGCAACTTGGAAGAGGAAATCTTTCAAAGGGCAATTCAGAGTAAGGATGAAGAAAGCTGCCCAGCTAACTCCCTCAGGGCCCACAACTATAGAATGAGATGAAAGCTCACCCCAATAAAAACTAGACCTAATAGGTCCAATGTGGTAGAGAAGTAGCATTTGCTTATTTGCTACATCTAAAATTATCCAAACCTCCTGTGAAATGGTTGTAATACTCTGGTGTTGGAGCACTCACTGTCTGGGCATTACTTATTGGCCACTGTGGTAAGGATGACCTCATCCCTCTTCAGAAATTTGGGCAGTCCCCCTTCCAATGCCAAGGGTCTTCTTTTGTGGGCTGACAGGTCTGACGAGGGCCAGGTGGTTTCCAAGGGCATTCCTCTGCCCAGTGTCCCATTTGTTTGCACTTGA